CCACATCTTTATATTCACTCCTGTCCTTGGGTTACTCTCTATAGCCTTAGCCCAGCACGGACTCTTGAAAGTTTGAAAAGACCAGAGGTTGGCAGAGATGAGCCATTTCTTTTGGCTGCTCTTGAAACTAATCAAGAGACTATGTTGTAGACTAAGGTGAGAAGTTATTGGCATTATCTGTCTGCTTAATTGATATTTCTCAAATTGGATTCCTAGGAATAGCTGCAGTTTTGGAGGTGCGGGAAATCACCATCCGCCCTATGCCCTGTCTAGTTCTACCTCCATGCATAAATACTGGTCTAACCATGTAGATGTTGGAAGACCAGTAAGCCACCCATTATACCTTAGTCAGTTTTCTCCCTACCACAGCATTTGGTGTATGTAGTCCCAAGGTATGATATCCTCTGTGTACAGACTGAAGAGGAAATTGAGAAAGTATTGTCCTATTTCTTGGAGCCACCTACAAAACGTTTTTGGCCTAAATTATCTAGTTTGTTTTTTTATAATGATAAAATCCATGTAGTTTATTGCTAAATCCTCACTACATTATACACTAATGACAACGCCTTCTCTTTGAGCATGCTCCATTCTAATTCATGAGGGTATTTTTGACTTTACAATGATGGATGTTCTTTTCCCGCCACTGCTCATCTTTGATAAAGTGGAGCGAAAGGAAAAACGATTCCACAAATTTCCCAAAGAAGAAAGGCCATGAGGATTGTGTGGATCCATGTATGTGTGGATCTATCTAGATCTATTGAGAGGGTTCGGAAACAAAAGCGGCATTAAGCCTTTTGTTGTGTAAACCTCCCATAGATCGGTTCAAGCACACAGAACAGTTAGAGCTAGAAGGGGTTAGAGGTTTATACCCCTTTCCCCACTGTGTTTGTAGAGGAACTAAAGCTAAAGCATTTATCCAAGTTTCCCCAACATATTAGTGCTAGGACTAAAATTCAGGTTCTTCCTTTCACTGCTGTAATGCATTCACTCACATTTATTCTCTATGAGGGATACCAAATTTGGAACAGTCGGAGAGAAGATTTCAGCAACATTCCCCCTCTGTGTCTCAAAAGGATGATTCTATTGTCTGCTAGATCTTGTCAACTAGACCCGGCCATTCCCAGTGGGGCCACTGGTTGAATATGGTGGCAGAAGTTCAAGGACCCAGCAGAGGTTGGGCAAACAGCCCAGTGATGTCTTTGTTTCAGAGAGATTCCAGACACCTCATACAAGGAGCCCAGTTTGAAATCTGTAGATATTGCCATTCAAGCAGAGGCAGAATGCCTTGAAACAATTGGTACTGTCTTTAGTCCCTGATAGAGGCCTGATGCCTTCGCTGCCCGATCACCTAGACTTCAAGACGTTCTGAATTTAGTCCCGTCATGAGCGAACTAGGGAAAAGGGCTTCTTAAGTTTTTTTTAATGAAAAAAATGATTTTCCCCTTAAATAAAGTGAGTAAAATGCTAGTAAAAAGGGCAAATAGCCTCTCCAGCGACTCACGCATCACTGCAGGGCTGAGGATTCCCTCCCTTAAATAAAGTGAACATAGTGCCGATAGCAGTTCAAACACTGATATTCCAGTCTTGAACTGGTTGTACTTGTTCAAATCCCTCTGGTTCCCTTTTCCTCCTTTAGACAGTTTGTGGTTGGGAAAAGGATAACAGGATAGTCTTAGAAGAGAGATTCCTACCCACATGGCTCCCATCCCTCAGGAGCCGGGTTCCATCCCACATCATCCAAGGCTAGAATACAATTTAACTTCCTGGTCTACACAGGCCAAGAGAAAGGAAGGCAATGACTTACAAACCTTGAACCTGGATGTAAACAGTTTGATCATTCAAGCCTCAAAGCCAGATCCTTTTTTGGCTGCTTAGTGCATTTTCTTTACCTAAACACCTTAGATCATTGTCTTGACTTGCTTTTCTGGGGGGGTGGGGGGGGGGTGTGGGGAGGGCTTCTAGAGGTATTAGCAATTGTGCCACAGGAAATGGGAGAAGTTTCTCCGGAAGAAGGGGCTTTAGGGAAGAGTTAGGCTCCCAACGTCTCCCCTCTCTCCTGCCCCACACTGGGGATACTTGAAAGACACATGTAAAACCCCAAGCCTCAGGGCAAACCGATTGGCCACTGTGTCCCACCATCTACCGCTACTTTGATTCAAAGCCAAGACACTGAAGTGCAAAGGAAGAAATGTACTCCAGGACCCTGGTCACAGGCCACAGTGGGAAGCATGCCCCAGAGAGTCGTGCCATCATTACAGGCGTGGCGTTGTTGGCAGAGAGGACAGAGGCTGCTGGAGGCAACTCCCGTCTTTAATCCCATGGTCCACATTTCAGACTTCCCAACTGTGAGCCTCTGTGTCCTTCAGCAGGGTCCCCCACCCTTCACGATTCATTTCCTAATCCCTCTCCTTTTTTTTTTTTT